TTTCGCCACTGCTGCATTGCAACATTTGCCAGTGGCGCGAGCGCTCCGCACTTGGAGCCGAGGCTCATTCCTCAAGCCTCGCTGGCGTCATTCACCAAAACTTCTGGGTCGCGGACACGACTGCCTCATTCACCAATACCTTAAGGTACTTCAAGACGGCTCGTTTCTTCCCACCCCCTCGCCACGGCCATCATCATCGCTACCACTGTGCCACGTCGCAACCGCCCCACCTGCCACCGATCATGCCGCTGCGGCTTAGCTTTCATAGGTGCCGTTGCCACCGCGTTCATTCTGGCCACACCGCCTCCGCCACCGCACGTTGATCATCGCCGTGCCGCCGACGTCCAAGCCGACGTCCAAGCCGTCGTCGCTCTCGCCGCTCCCGCCTCACGATGGTTTGGGCGATCTCGCTCTCCCGCCTCCTGGGGATGCCTGGCCTCTAGTGCGCTACTCGAGTGGGCTCTCTGTTCAAAATATTGCCAAATTACGCACACATGTGCGCAGATAAACATCCTTAGAGTGCCACACACACACACTCCACGTGCGAATGTTCGGGTCGTCAACCGAGCTAACCGCGCCCCCCCGGGGGGGGGGCCAGCGCGGGGCTATCGCGTGGACGTGGTCACGGGGGGAGTGTTGCACACGCGACACGGCACATCCAGCACGCGGTGCGGCCACTCCCACGCCGGCGGGGGCGCACGCGGTGTGATTTTGTATCTTATTTGCTCGCAAAATGACAAGTTTGCGTGCAAATTTGCTGCAAATTTGACATTTCAAATCCATAAGAGTGACACTATGGATTCCGGGTGACACAGGTTGGCAGTCGGAGAAGGGGCAACTCCGTGCACTGACGGTCGGCCGTCAGAAAACACGCCTCCGTGGCTCGGGTTACACCAATCCTCGCTACCCAACGCGGCCAAAGGATATCCACCTCGAGAACCTCGAGACACACACACACACACACACACACACACACACACACACACACACACACACACACACACACACACACACACACACACACCTTCCCCCTAGTCTTTGAGAGGGTGAGGTCCACCTACCTCGCGGCATACCTTATCCCCGGACCCTCGCGGAAAAATTCTTTTCCTAAAGTCTTTGCCAACCCAAATTCTTTTTCTGGGGCTTCTCTACTGTCCAGGTACAACTGTAGTCGCCGCTGCTCCTCCTGACGGGATTCACGTAAACGTACAACCCCGGGCCCGAAAACGCACAGAGTCACCGTATTTGAAAGCATGTTTTGCATGCTGGGTTGCCTGTGCTCCACAAGTGTGGCTGCGAGCGGATTATTTGTGTCGTCTCCAAACCGGTCGCCACCGTCAGCGCTACAGCTGCTCGCTCCGTCGCCTTTCGCAGACGCCAGCTTGGCTGAGAACGCGAAGCAGGGGCGGAATGCGAGCCGCAGGCAGCTATATCAAAGGCCAAGGCTCTTTCGGGAGCGGTGAGCAAG